AATACCAACTTAGTATTCTCAGAGAAAATCTTATTTGCCTTCTATAGGTGGTGCTCACCAGTAATGTACTTTTGAGAGAGTGATGTAAGGTGAAGTTTTTCGCATTTTTAACATGCACAGAGGATGAGAATGTTGGCATATTTCTATGCTACTTTCATGCAATGTGGCTGACATTTCTTTGGATATTGTACTTTTGGAAATGTTAAATGATCTTAGCACATTGCTAACTAATATGACTGCTCACTTGTGCTCGCAAAAAAACCTGAATTTGTCTAAAATACATTATCCTTGGCAGTTATTAAAATAGGGAAAATGAATTTTGCCAGACTAGACATACCAGCTTCTGAAAGTGCAATGAATAAATTACCAAATGCAAAAAATGTAAAAAAAGTTAACAGCTTTTTTTTTTTTTACAATTTACCTCTGAAGTTCGGGTAGTGAAAAGGGACCAACTTTTAATAATTCCTGTTTTAATTTCATTACAGGGTACAGATACCATTAAGTGTACATTTCATTTGGTATGATGACATGTCCCCACAGCAGACTAGTTACAGATAAAAGCAGCATGAGTGACAAATTGCCATAATACTTATCAACTCTCGTTGCAAAATGACATTTTCAATGCATGCTGTATGTAACATTTGATCTTAAACTTTTTAGTTGTCTACTCACATAGCATTTTCAAAGCATAATGACTGACATATAATCTTACATTTTTTTTGTTTTATTGTTCGTCATTATTGTGACACATAAAAATGATAACTGTAAGAGCAAAGCACTGATCTTTAAATTACAACACAATGGCACCTTTTGTCATTCTAATATTAGTATCTCTTTACATGAATATGATCAACATGTCAACATGCCTAACTTTGACAGTATAATTTACTTTCTTCTCCAAACGTGGTGCATAAAATGCTGACAAAATGTATATCATTCTTTCCAACTCTTTTCAATCAGTTAACAGGTCTTGTTCTGAAGTAAAATTGTCTGTAGTCAGCTTGCTGTTTCATAAATTTAATAGGTAAATCATTAGTGTTCATCTTAGCACTCACTAGAAACTGGTACTGTTGTTCAAACTTCTCTGCTGGATTCTCTCTGAGAATCCTGGTCTGAACAGAATTGTTCTTGGTAACCATAATGTTAGCATTATCAGAACTGTATCCAATGCAGTTTGACTATGATATATGCTTGTCTTTACAATACGACACATTTGGGACTGACTATATCATTGTCGGAAGATGAAGGGGACAAAATGTTTTGAAGCTTAATAGGGGCTTTACAGGTAATACAACAGTAATAAATGCTTCAGTTCATTTTGGTTGTTAACACTTTATGAAAACCAATCAACTTTGCAAAAATGAACGTGAACTTAGAATTATTTTTCAATCAGTCCATTTCATGGCTAAAATCATCCTGAAAAGTATGAATCAATTAACATTATTAAGATAACAAATAATAATAAAGAGAACTAATCTTAATATTCACTTCAGCATGTTGAATATGTTCTCGTTTGTCTTGATGTTATATACAGGTGGTACTGCCTGTACACTGAAATTATTTATGTCAATTAGATATGCGCAAAGAATTAAAAGCTTCTCCTTGCTGCTATACTTCACAAAATAAAACTCATTCTGAAATTTATTTATAATCATGCTCTGCATTTTATATAAAAAGTAAAAACCAACTTTAAAGAATTGTTGCTGCTGTTCACAAACTTGCCAATAAAGATAATATATTGCTTAAACATTGTCATTCAAGGCAATGATGTAACACTTTTGTTTTTCATCAGGCACTTAGCATCTCATTCATTTACCTATAACTTAAAACAAATTGGGCTGTTCTACTTTGTAAACTTTACTTATACAAATTAGTATAATGGACTCCATAACAGCAGTCTTCAATGGACATCACATTACACTAGATATTGTCAGCCAGTTATGTAATACATGACTTGGTGGTTGTTTATACCTAACCTACTTGCTGTTTAATTGCCTTTATGACAATTTGCCATAAAGACTGCCCTAATGAGAGTTTTACATGAGCTATAAGCAGAACAGTTCATCATTTATGCATGCTACATATTATGGGCATATATTGAGGTGATGGTGTTTAATTATTTTACATGAAGTTTACTGACGGTTGTGTTTTTCAAATAAAAATCATGTTGTAGGAGGGTTGGGTTGGAGCAAAAATAGTGTTTTTAGCAATTGCATGTAGTGTTATGGTTGGATTTCTAAAGTGCTCAATAAGCATAAAACAGAATCATTTTGTTTAGCTGTCAAAGCATACATAATCTTCCCAATTCTAATAAACTAAAATCTAAGAAACTCAATTATCACACAAATTTCAATGATGGATGGAAACAGGAATTTCAGTGCTTGGAATCAAGTTCAATTACATGAATATGCATTCTGCCTTTCCCATAAAACTGATATTGAAATTTGCTACAGTGGCAAGAATGACATTATGCATCACACAGCATATTAAAGCATGTTAAATTTACAACAAATACTCCATCAGCAAAATTTATGGAATCTATGTCAAATGTGGATAAGTTGTTGTTGTTGGGCTTAACGCCATTTTCAGCACACGATAGGCTATTCATGGCGGCCAGTATTAATGGTTGAGGAACAAACCGGGAAATCACTGGAAAGAACCACCGACCCCCAAGAAGCTACTGGCAAGCTTTCTCACATATCCATATTCGATGAATCCTAGACTCGAACCCAGACAGAGGTGAGATGGCAGTGATCCGTAACGGACATGGCTTTAGACCACTCGGCCACTCAGGGCCCCCAAATGTGGATAAAGATATTTGTGCCAAGACACTGTTTGCCAACCTTATAGCCAAACATAAATATCCTATTATCAGATCAAGTCAAAATAATGTTTCCTGACTCAAAAATTGCAAAATGTTATCATAATAACAGATAAAAACTACTCACATAGTGACAAAAACTTTGGGATCCTCATTGGGAAAAGAAAGTAAAAGACATTTACTACAATGAAAAATTTCACCATTCTCATTGAAATCCTCCCTCTTTTGTGGACAAAAAATCCTGACACAAAATTTGCAATTCTCTAGATATGTTCCAAATGAACTTCTATTTTCTGTAACACATATAAATAACATTTCAACAATCAAATGAAATACCAGCACATTTTAATTTTAATGTGGTTCTTGAAACTTTGCAGTGAAAAAGAAATCATTTGATTCCAATACCCTGAAATGTTTATTCTGCAATTAGTGATGACATGTCAAGTTGATGAGATGTCAATGAAGTAGAAGGAATAATTCAGGTTGGAGTTATAATCCAGAATCAAAAGCACAACTCAACAACAGCTCCTTTGAATCATAAAGTCCTCTGCCTTTTCCATTAAATGCAAGAAAAAATCTTGGATATAAATGGGCTTTTAGAACTGCCATCAAGCCCATGGTTATTACATTTTAATAACTTCACTGACGTTACAATCACTAGGTGATGTCACCACTAGCAAAAACGTAACCAATTGCACTGAAATGAGTCCTTTAGTTTTATTCATATATAAGTTGCAAGAATAAAATTAAAAATTAAAAGTGAATTTCAATGATTGCTGAAAATTTGAGTGTTAATTTATACACTTAAAATTTTATATCAATATGTTTTTCACAAATTTAAATGAATGGAAAAACTTAACGATTCAGGATGTACATGTATTACCACAATTAATCTGAGCCTCTTTCAGTAAGTCCAAGTTATTACGCTTGCAATGGACAGAGATGAGAATATTCAAAGTAAAACCAGTTTATCCATTACCCCACTTTGCAATACATGGGGACTAAAATCCTGATGCATGTATAATGCACACGTAAGTTCAGGTATTATCAATTGTATAAAATGCAAAGGACTTGAGTGATTTTATCTTTGTGATAATCTTCACACTATTTTAAAATGAGTCCATCCATATATCCATACATCTAAATGCATGCATCAATACATACTTCCAACTGCATACACACAAGAGAGAAAGAAAACATAAAAATACAAACATATGCATGCAAATGGCATTAATACTACTCTTTTATTAGATATAAAGTCCTCTAGATTGGGTAAGATATACTATTGTGCAATATACCTCAACTGTTTTAAAGAAATTGGCTGAGTGGTGGATCAAAGATCATTTGAGCTTAGAAACAAAAATAACAGAAAATACTTAAACCACAAAACTTAGTCCAAAAATAACAAGACAAATCACAATCTTAACTTTTGATGAATGGCAACATTTGGATGAACACAGACCATTACTGCTTTAGACAGCATTATCAGACTGGTTGTGTAAAATAGTTTTTAACCTAAAAAGTCATCATAAACAGCTTTTGTTTCTCCCCACATATTCTCAATGCATTTACTGAAAACCATTATTATTTACACCTCTGCCTGATAATGGAACAAACATGAACCTACAGTATATGACAGCCATTGATCTTGTTCTGGGGCTTAACGCCATTTTTCAGCACATGATAGGCTATACATGTTGGCCAGTATTAAGGGTGGAAGAAGAAACCGGGAAATCCCCAGAAAGAATCACCGACCCACGAGAAGCTACTGGCAAGCATTCTCACAAATCCACATTCAACAAATCTTAGATTTGAACTCACACAGACAGAGGTGAGATGGCAGTGATCCGTAACGGACAGTGCTTTAGGTCACACGGGGCCCAGATTATATGGGTAAATCAAATGGCATGTTAAAAATAAATTTGTATTTTAATGGTTGAAAATAATTTATTCTAAAGGGCCATTAGGATCATAGTTTATGAAAATAGAATTCACTGGTCTATTGTTGGCCTTTTTTTTTAAAGCAGATTCAGAAAACCTCCACCTGACCCAATCTAATGTAGAAATATTCAACTGGCCCATACCTTGTTACAGATCTGAAAGAGTGAAGCACCATTTAAGGAATATTTTCCATATTTGACTAACTTAAACACTTCCCTAGGCAACTTCAGAAATGTCTTTGCATGTATTTCATAGTGGTTAGAGTATCTGCCTCGAATGCAGAAGGTCGTGGGTTTGAACCCCCATCATGTCATACTAAAGACATAAAAATGGTACTAACAGCTGCCTCTCTATGCACTCAGCATTAACAGGTTAGTGTTAGTGTTAGAACTGGTTGGCCTGGTCTCAGGATAATGTGACTGGGTGGGACATCATGCTACATGTCTGTGACATGATGTAACAGTGCTAGATGTCACTATAAACTGCCACACTGTAGACATCATAGCAATGTAAATGAACAATTTTTAGTGCTACATTAAAACTTCAAATCACACACACACACTCCTTCATTTGCCGGAGTAGGTAAAAAAATGGGTTTTATGGCAGAGTTGGTCATTGCTTTTAATTGCATTTGTTGTATTTGGCCAACAATCCATGCCTAAAAAGATCATTTTGTTTTAAATTTAACTAGTCTGCCAGAACTCTCCATATTTACTTATGTTCACTGAATCAATTTTGATACAATTATTGATCCTGTATAAATAAATCACAAATATTTGAGACTTTCTGAGATTATCATGACATAAGCCCATGGAACAAGTTTTATCAAAATCCTGTCAAAAGTAAAGCATCAAGAATGTTATAAAAAAAGCTAATCAGATGCAAAATCACCTCCTTTATATGCACAAGTCTAACTCATAACCAAAAACCATCCAACACCTTGGTGATATTATTCTATATACCATGTCAGTAAAAATTTGGCTCAGAAACACCATCATTAGAGTTGTAAGAATTTTCAACCAACAGATGCAAGATTATTACATTAATTTAGCATACATAGATGTCACTGTTAATACCAGTCCTCTAACTTTATGACAATATAAACCTCTCTGCTGAAGTGTTAACAAGCTCTGCCAATCTGAGTCAATATCACCTCATTAACATGCACGTATCCTACTCAATTCTGAGATTGTCCAAAATCTTCATAATGCTGTATAATCTCCTACTTTATGGTTATCAAAATCTCACCAGAATGGTACTAAGCTCAACCAATCAGAAGCACGGTCACTGCATTAATATGCATGGACCTTGCTCATTACTGAATATGTCCTATGTTATGTAGTTTTAATTTGCATTGTGTATTATTATATGTTTTCATTTCAATAAGTAATGCTTTAAATAATGCAAAAATGCATCTGAAAGCTGAACATGTCTAAGATCAATGACAATTTTATAAACAACATTGGATTACTATTAGTATTATTATTATAAGGAGAGTCATTTGAATTTCATTTGAATTTCTTCATAAAGCTAGATCATATGTACATGTTGTTTGCAACATGCTTTATTGTAACAGACCTTCTAATTGTTCTAGAACAATGAACTTTTGAAGCTCATCTGGGTTTTCTTTATATGTCATAGTTTTTATATAAATGTTGTTTACTGGAAATAATATCTGAGCAAAATCAAGTTGCATTATTGTTGTGCAGTATTTTGATTTTGTTGAAATTATTTAATTGGAAATATTATCCTTATATGGTAAAACAAAGTATTCAAAAATAATATTATTGGACATAAAGACTTAGATTTAAAGTAAAATTCAAATAAGGATATATTTCTTGGACTATTTTATTGTGATCCAACAAAAGGATATTGGCACACTGCCATAATAGAGGCCATCAGAGAAATATCAACACTTCCAACATTGAATTTACTAAAGTTCATTCAGAACTTTAGTCATTAGGACTTGTTAGAAGTTCTAGTATTATTTGGGATTTAATTCACAATAGCATAATGTATTTTTTTTTTTACATTTTCACTTTATATTCTAGGGTAAAAAAATTTGTTAAATTTTACAAAATTTGTTGGTTTTTGCTCTTTTTTTGTTACTTTGTTAAAGACCATAGAGTTGCATACAGTTGTTCATGTATTAGCACATATTTCCAGCCTAATCACAATCAGATCACAAATATGACTTCCAAAGTGATAACAAAATCTGGGAATTAGGTGCATGACTACATCATTAATATAAGTGGATCAGGTTCATTAAAAGTTCTTGAAGATGGTAGCCCACATATCATGTTTGATCAAAAAAAGATTAGAAATATGGTCTCCAGAGTGGCAATAAACTCAATCAATCAAGATCACCTCATGTATGGATATCGCTCATTATAAAACTCATCTGAGCTCTTGTTGACGCCAGCAAATATTCCAAGTTTGATCATATTCTCATCAGAAATCATCTGATTTTGAAATTTTTTATTTGGCTATTCAAAGCATCTTGATGTGAAATGATGTGATTATGATTTTATATCATAGCTTTAAAAAATTTTCAGTCATATTGCTATGATGTCTGCAGAGTGGCAGCTTATAGTGATGTCTAGCACTGGGCATCATGCCACAGACATGTCCCATGATGTCCCACATTATCCTGACACCAGGCCGACCGGTCCTTACACTAACCTCTTAATGCTGAGCATCAAGCAAGGCAGCTGTTAGTACATTTTTGAAAGTCTTTGGTATGACTTGACCAGGAATTGAACCCATGAGCTCCTGCATCCGAGGCGGATGCTCTAACCATTAGACCACTGGAGCGATTTCCTTTGATCTTGAATTTGTTTAGTGTTTCAATTCTGTTTCCTTTCTTTAGTAGCAGTATTTGTCATTATTGTGGCACATAAAAAAATGTTAATTTTAAGACTGGAGATATCAAGCTGTTCAAAGGGAAAACTGTTGTTGGGGCTATAATTCCTGCTGTGTGCCCCATGACTGAAAGTGCAAGAAATTGATAATGCTAGAAACCTGAGCTTGGTGTTATTCTAATGGGAAGCCCAGTGGTGTAAAGCTCCCACCGAAGATCCAGGTCAAGCAGCTTTGATACCACTTAATTTAGTTAATTCTGAAAACATTCTTCCATAGCCATTTTTCATCATCATCCAAAAAATATAATTTTCATTAAGTCATGCCATCCTGCATTTATTTTGTAACCCTTGAAAATTTTGTCACTTTCCATGAATAAAAACCAAATTACTGCCAACCAAAATGTGCAGTTTGCTTTAAAATAATTGAACAACAGCAAAACTGACTTAGTATGATGTGCATAACTAAAAAAATCATGCCATAGATGTGCTGTCTCTACTCATTACTGTGATTGATTGCATATAAAAAAAAGTATTACCAGATTTGATCTTAGTTAAATAAGTGCTCAAAGAAATAAACACTAAAATCAATGGACTAATATAAAATTGAAGAAAATGGTCTTAGACAACTTCTCCTCTAATGAATTCTAGTTTTATATGGAAAGCTTTCATCCACAGATAGACCAAGGTACAAAGGGAGTTTTCTTTTGTGGGGAAGGAAAGGATCCTTGGTGGGGTTGGGTGGAGTGAGGATGGTTGGCGGGACTCTCCATAACAGAAAAAAATGACATGATGTATTAAAAAACAAACCCATCTAACTTGTGGTACTGAAATTTATAGGAATCGTTTTTTTTTTATTTATAATCTTAAAAAATTTAAGAATCATTTTATTTCTAATGTAAAATTGGGGGTGTATGTGTGCAGGAAAATATGTAGAAATATTGGTTCCATATCATTAGGATAGAAGTTCAAGTTTAATGACTAATAAACTGTTGTACTATGTAAACAATTATGAAATATATGTCACATTTTGATGCTTTTGCAAGATCTGCACGTTTATTTTCAAGTGACTAGCTATATGAAACTTTCTTTTATATGCTAGATTCATTCCACTTGCACAGGTCTTGCAAAATGTGCAATGTTCTCCAAAACTGTGACTTGAAGAATGTAGAAAACATATTGGCATCTCCTTCCAAATATTGTTTAATGTGATTCAAAGTCCACTTTTTCTTTCTCAATGGTGTTGCATCATCCACCATTTTTCCACAAGACCTGAAATATCTAGAGTGATGCTCAGTTTTCTTCTCCCATATTTTGTGGTAGATACATTGAACCACAGAATGTGTGTACCGGTTCTTCCATCATAACCAGTGATGGCATGTTTTCTTACCTTAGAAAAAATGTCCCAAGTAAAACTAATTTACAAAACTAAAACAAGCAATAATATAAAATTAAAGAAATAATTTGAACTGCTGATTTGCATAAAATAATAATGGACAAACAGACAAACATATGTGCTATTTTACTGCACAATTTTAACCACTGCTGTATTCATAAGAAAATGTCTACATGGATTAAATTAAACAAACTTATCTGAAACAATGATTTACATCAAGGTCTTTCACCACACACAATACTGTATTGAAATTTTTAAACAACCACCTGGTTGTCTTGCTTTTCTGATTAACCCATCAAATTTGATAAGAATCTTAACATATGCTTTATACAGCATTAACATCTTTCTTTAAATAAGTCCTGGTAGCAAAGGGAGCTAACTCATCCATTCTGAACATGCCTGGGATGGGGACATTCTTAATCGTAAATTTAATGCTTACTATAACTTCAGCATCACAAATTTTAACCAAATAACATTATTTTATGTACACAATGCTGATATTATATTGAACAGGGAATATAATTTGTATCAATCTATGCACAAACTGGTATGACAAAATCACAAGATGGATACTGCCACTACCAAAGAGTAATCGGCAGATGGAATGAAATAAAGTTCATAATAATGTTTGTGAATCCTCTTCTGCTATGGTGATAAAGCTTAGTGTGGACCTCTGAGACAGGTGCAGACTGACAGCATCAGACTTAGTCTCTGTGTCAATCTGATCTGGACTTGCTTCGGATTTCTTCCAGGTGGTATCAGGAATGGTGACAAGTTTTTCTACCTCTTCCATGAGGGCCTCAGTCTTCTCTTGAATCAGTGCCTGAGGATAAATAATGCAAAGACTTTAACTCAAATAAAATATCCAAATTGACAAGGTACTCAGTTGTTTTGCTTTTACAGAGATACAAAAAGACAAAGACATTATGATCATCAAAAATCAGCGATTCTGGACCAGGAAACTAATTCCCTTACATGCAAACAGGCAATAAATATTCCTGGCCAGGATTACTCAGCTGTAACACCTGTGAAAGCAGCATGAGCAAGGCTCAGTGGTAAA